TTGGACAGCTACCGCCCGCCCAAGCTGGGTAGCCCCCAGCCAATTAGGTGCTGTCTCGTCCACGTTCCGCTTGTCTCATTGGTTGCATGAGGCTAAGGGCCGTTCCCGAACAGCGGACAGATAATCAACGCACCAGCGAACAACACACAGAACCGAAAACCGAAGGCCTTGCGTGACAGGTCTCCAGAAGCTCCCACACTGGTGCTTCGGTCACGCTCCCGCGTTGGATTTACGCCCCACTGCCTTGCGGGTCAGACCCTTGAGTCAAAGGCTCCGGTTAGGGTTCTCAAAGAGAAACCCCTTCTTCGGTGTGGGCTACCGCGAAGTATGTCGTGTCCCAAAGTCTTAGGCACCCATTTGGAAACCCCCTCTTTCTGAACTGATAGCCAATCCCAACCTGTTGTACAAACACACAAATGTCTCCAAAAAACTCAGCGTTCCGGTGCTAAGTTTGGCAGGACGTGTCTCATTGACAACAGCCATTAAGTGAACTAGTCCAACCTAAGTTCGACAAAACCGTGCTCCTATAAACCAGGAAACAAGAAATAATTCCACCAATATATAAGCGGGTGGCAATCGCAGTGACCCAGCTAACTACCGCCCCGTTTCTCCCCCCCCCTCCTTGTATTATTCACGGTCATGGAATTCAGTGTCGTGGACAACGTGATGAGTCACTTGGAAAAATACATTTTATCCCGATGCAACATGGGGTTCGTCGCAGGTGCTAATTTCGACATCCGTAGCAGTGCACGAAACAAAGAAAAGTTGTGACAATTCCTATCTTTCTATGAACCGTAAATCGATACATTGATGCCGAACCCTATGGGATAAGAACAGCAACCGCCTGTATTTCCCATAACAAAACTCTAACTTTAAGAGAAACTCAAATCAAGCATCCAAATTTCACAGACTGTTTCGCCTGAAAAACATAAAACGTATCCGATTTTGGAGGTAGAATTCAAGGTCTCCAACTAACTTCTCATTGCTATAATGTACACGCACATATTAGCCCTGTTCACACTCTAGCTTTTCGCCCAAATATAAAGGTACAACATTAAATGCAATGTTAAAAACACAGAATAAATGGTTCAAACTATTCAAAGGCTCACAAATCATTTGTAGCAAAACCCATGGCAACCCATCAATACCTTACGAATACGCATATCACTCGTCTTGTAGATCAGAGTGAGAAGGTCCGGGGTCATCACAGTATTCGGTCGATCAATACCAGTGTGGGAACACGCGGATTGGTTGGACATCGTGTGGACCATTGTAGACGTGTGGCTCACACCAGCCCAACCATCTCCACACATCAGACTTGGCCACAAGTCCAATGCTAATGGTGAACGGCATCCGTCTAGGAGGCGTTTCAGGCAGAATGCGGACAGCGCATATGGTTTGAGCTATTAAAAAAGGCAAGATAAACGGAGAAAAACACAACGAATAGGACAATATCGAAGAAATGAGAATTAATCGGATACGCGGAAATGCACCTCAGTAGAAGTTCCAACAACCGAGCGACGAGAATGCCCTGCTATCCAGATCATGAGAATGGGATCTGGGAGCGAGCACACCCTTGACCCAGTGTTTATCTCGATTCCATTTACGGCAGGTAGTTCTTGGCGTTTTCATGCACCCAAACGATACAGGCAAAGAGGTAAGAAAAAAGAGAAAATAAAACAAAATGGAAAATGCTAGATGAGGGCAAATTAAGCAGGGAGGTGTACTTACTCTATCATTATCTTTGGTGTTATTTCAACCCCCGATGGATAACATTCCATCATCTTTTAGATTTGCGTTAAGTGTTTACTTTCCCACTTCATGGAAGATAAAGCACTTCCAAACAAGCCAAACAAACCTTTTAAACAGAGTGTAGGTCGGTGGTATACTAAACCACGGTAAAGAAACTCGGTGGCTGGAGAAATCTGTAGGTATATGATTAACTTATTGGACTGCCAAATTGAGTAGCTATCGATTCTCCCTTGTGGGATTCGCACCTATGCATGGACACCTAAACCTTTTGTATGAGCTACGAGGACATGCCGACACCTACGATGTTTTTACACTTGAGTATATAATCAAATTGCAGAGGCATATGGAATTAAGAAATTGATGTACGATAGGTGTCCTGGTAGAACTTCGTTTGAATTATTTATTTGAAAAACCTCTCTGCTAATGAGACCAAAATCCATAGTAAGCACAGATTCAAAAGATATTAAATGTTGATGATAATAACGACTTCATGGGTCAAAAGAACCGAACGGATGGAATAAACACGCGAATTCTCAAGAGTATCCTCAACGGCCATCAATAATCTGGAAAATCTAAAGTATGTAACGGGTTCCAGGTAAGTTGCAAGCTTTTCTGGAAAGTTTGAGTGCTAGTGTAGCCATGCTCGGTATGCGTTTTGCACTTTCAA